AGAATGACAGGTTGCTCCTATAAGCCTATACAATACAGACTATGTAGAATCAGTGGTGGACAGAAAATCTACCACATATTGTTGTACCTTCCTTAGGGTTAACTTACTCACTTGAAGAAATAAGAAGCAAAATATAGTTGTAAGGTAGTGCAAATCAAAGTTTCGAACAATGACTCAAGGGGTATGTGAGCTACTAATGCTAAATAAAATTCTACTAAATCTAAAAATCAAGTGCGTAGTCCTATATACTTATACTGTAACAATAAATCGATTATAAATATTGCTCATAACCTGATACAACATGATAGGACCAAAAATATTGAGGTTGACAAGCACTTCCTCAACAAGAAGCTAGACAATAGTTTAATACATATATGTCAACCAGCTCACAGCTTGCAAATGTATTGACCAAAAGTCTGATTAATCCATGATTCCAAACTATCATTGACAAAACAAGAATAGAGTGTTAAAGAGAGTGTACTATATGTAGTTGGGTTATAGGGCTTTAGGGTAAATTACGCCTCTATGAAATTAATCATCCACTTCCTTTTCTATATTAGAAAACCTGTATATATAGAACTATGATATTAAATAAAATACACTTTTAACCATTCTTAACAAAAACAATACAAAAACATAAGTTTTTTTAAGTAAAAAAAACAAAAAAATACTTGTTCTTGGTTTTGATAAAAATAAAACAAAAGGCTGAAAATAGATAGTTTTGATAAATGACTTATATTTGTAAGGACTGAATAATATTTTTAATGAGTATATATATAAATTTTATATTTTATTAATTGATAAATTTAGTACTTTTAAAATAAAATATATATTAATTCATCATCAATGATAAATAATATTTATTCTAAAATTAAATAATAATAGTTTAAAATTAATATCCATATTAAATCAAATAAATAAAATGATTAAATCAAAATAAATATTTTGAATAATTTAAGTTATTAGAATAAATTTCAAAAAAAATGTTATTTAAATAATTATAATAATTAATTTTTATTGTTATGTAATTTTTATAATTTCAGCATTTATTATTAATTTTAAAACATAATTAAAGATAATATCACATTGTATATTCAAAGCATTTTTTGTAACATGTTTTACCAAACATTATGATGTTTTTCACCTTAAAACTGTTTTTAACTGAAAATCATTTACAAAACACTTTAATCAGTTCATAAACATTAATAGAAGAAAATCCCTATTATCTTGAGAAATAAACTTTGCACTTAAAGAATTGATGGCAACATCTAATTTTCTATCGACTAAGAACCCTAATAATAAAAAAGCTCTTTGAACAGACTGGAAAAGTCCAATTATCTCAAAGCCAGATCTTAACCATCTTAGAAACAAATAGAGAAGCAGCAAGTACCATAACATTAGCAGGTCTTGTGAACATAAATATTAAATAACACCAGAAGCAGCAACTAAGCACTACGCACCTGAAGCAACACACCAAATGACTGAGGCTTTGTCAACTGTGCACATTTCAAAAACCCAACCCACAACTTTGGGTATTTCCATATCTGCAACAACTTATTAAATCAATCAGAAGCATGAACCACCAAAGACCTACAGTAGGCTAACTGCGAGAAGACCCTCACCTGCTTGCTAACAAGACGAGACAAGATCTCCATGATAAATTCTACCTGCAATAGGTCAAGTGATTTCCCTCAACTAGTAGTCATGGTGAAGCACCCAACTTAAGATAGCTTCTAAAAACTAACAAAAGCACTTCAGTAAGCAACATCGATTTTCTCAACTGGCGAATGACTTTTCTCTGAACAATCAATCAATGTTTAAAACAGTAATTTGTACCAAAGAAAAGAAACATAAACGTGATAATAGGCATAATTATTGATTAATGATACCTCTAGAAAGAAAAGCATGCATTTAATTACTTACCAATGATGGAAAGGCACCGATAGCTTGTAATACAGTTCGCATGAACAACAAAGGAAGAGGAATCTGCTCAACCTACAGGGAAGAAACCAGAAAATTGAAAAGCTTGATAGCTTGATAATATAAGGGAAGAAGATGAAGAGGAAGGTAGGGAATGGAACAGACCAATTGGTTCAAGACCTTAGCAAGAACTTGTTGGGTAAATATCTGCCTCTGTTCAAAACATGCATTGCATGCATCTGTGACCTGGTCAGAGAATAAAATGCCAATTTGAGCACTCATGCAAGAAAAGTTTAGAAAGGAGAAAAAGCATTCCTTTGTAAACGAGGACTGAAGCTAGATAGGCATACACAGGAGAGACCTACCTTCTTGAGGGGAATTGCATCTCTATCAGGATCAATTGCATGGATGGCTATTAACACTTCAGCTGGCGAGAGCCCTTGACCAGAATGAGATGATGCCTGAATAAAGATGATTGACAGCATATAGACAGCTCAATTAACACTTAAAAGGAAAATTCAAATGCAGAAATAGCACATTATGCATTTTATCAGAAGTAAACATTTGTCTTCATTTAAATTAAATTTACCAGAAAACACTGGCCCAAAACTTGGAACTGGGGAGAATTTGAATATTTTCCTCTAAAGAGATATGGCTAGATGAAATATGTACAAGAGGAAATCATAAATAGCAAAGAAAATGTCAAAAAGATAGAAGTGGCTCCAACTGATATAAATTTAGGGATCAATATTCAAGAGGAAAGAGATATGGCTAGATGAAATATGTACAAGAGGAAATCATAAATAGCAAAGAAAATGTCAAAAAGATAGAAGTGGCTCCAACTGATATAAATTCAGGGATCAATATTCAATTATTGTCACTTTTCACTTTTATTCACACTAACACCAGTTGACTAAGATTATATTTGATTCAATTATTTATAAATTTCCGAATTTTATGAATCAGTCTTAACATGCATAATTAAGACATAACTTATTATTTTTGAGTTGGAATAACCACAGCTTGAATTCCTTGATAATTGGAATTCAGTTTTCACCTTTCAAGATAGGACTTAGGCGTTGAATTCCCACCATCAAAGAATTCAAGAGAGTAGTAGTGGTAACTTAAACAGAATAATTATGTTTTAATTAGTAAATATAAATCAATAATATCAAAATTAAAAATTGACTAACAATTTTCTGGAAATCGAACCAAACGCAACATAAAGAGAATAAGGAAAGAAAAATGTACCTGCAATAATCGAGGAAGTGCCAATTGAAACTTATCAAGGGGAAGATTCACAAGCTGGGGGAAAATTAGTAAAACCTAACAGAAGACGTTATCAGTATCACAGACATGCAGATAATCAATACAAGTAACATCTCATACCAAAACAACTACCAAAAACAGATCCAACCAAAAAGAAAAAAGACAAAAAATGTAAGCAGAAAGAAAGTTGAGAGCCATCAGCTGTTCCTAAATGGGAAACTCCAGTCATAAGAAGTTTTCACAGAAAAAGTTAACATGGTCAATAAGGTTGATTCTTGATTTTACTAATCATCATAGCTCTTAACAACCACCAAGGACCTGCTATCTAGTAGTACAATTGTAGGATATTGCTGTTGCTTTGTCATTTCACTCAATCATCCCAGCTGAGCCATATGAGAGGATGATTGACTTGCATAGCAAGTATGTTATCCCCTCTAAACTCATGGAGATTGAAACCTAGACACTCAAGCAGCCATTCTTTATTATAAATAATATAATCTTGTCGCACTAGAATATGATTCAAATATCTCAACATTATAAAAGACTTTGTAGAAAATATTGTAATAAATTAGGTACTTCTTATTCTCCATTCTGTTATATAGAGTGGAATATTTTTAGTAGGTGATGTGTCATTCTTCTAGAAGGTGAGGCGGCACAGTAGCAACAGAAATCTATTATCACCCTTTCCTCACATTCCTGAAAAGATATATGTTTTTCTTCTATAAATGTCACCCGTTGGTGCCTAAAATTGATAAGAGAAAAAGAGGGGAGAATTCCTTCACAAAAATCTCCATTCACAAAATTCTTCATGATATCAGCGTTCTGATTTGAGAGCTTCCTTCGACTGAGCCAGAATTCAAATGGCCACAAACGAGCTCAATTCCTCTCCTCCCAAAGTCTCTTCGGATTCCTACCTCCCCGCGACTCTGAACCACGGCCTAGTTGAGCAGGCATCATTGTGCATTACAGGGCACAAACTAAACGGACAAAACTACCTTCAATGGTCAACCTCTGTCTTACTGTTTATTCGCAGCAAGGGCCATGACAATTACCTCACAGGTGAAACTATCCCTCCCGCAACCAGCAACCCAAGTTTCCGCATCTGGAAAATAGAGAATAGCATAGTAATGTCGTGGCTTATTAACTCAATGGTGTCCGACATTGGTGAGAACTTCATGCTATATGAAACAGTGAAGGAAATCTGGGAAGCAGCTCGCAAATCGTACTCCAGCAAAGATAAAGTCTCCGCCATCTTCGAGGTGGAGTTGACTCTCCATGAACTGCGTCAGAGTGAGCTTTCTGTTACCCAATACTTTAATTTATTAACCCGAAGCTGGTAGCAACTGGATACCTTCGAGGAGCATCAATGGAGTTGTCCAAATGATGCTCGGACATTCAGACTCTTTGTTGAGCAAAAAAAAAATCTTCAAATTCTTGATGGGGCTCAAAAAAAGTTTGGATGAGGTTCGTGGACAGGTGCAGGGAATGAAATCACTACCCAACATCCGAGAAGTGTTCGCGGAAAGCCGAAGAGAAGAGAGCAGAAGGCAGGTGATGATGGGAAAAGCTCAGCCTATCTACTCTGTCGAAAGTGCCTCTGCACTCACCACGCGGCCTAATTCTCGTGGAAAGAAGGGAAGGCCGTACTGTGATCACTGCAGGAGACTCGGTCATGTCCGCGAGAAATGCTGGAAGTTGCATGGGAAACCCAGCGAGAATAAGGCCGAAAGAACAGAGAGCAATGGAAACCGTCAAGGAAATATTGTTGCTTCCACTGTTGAAGAAAATGTTGCAGAAAGCAATCCGTTCAATGCTGCACAAATGGAGGTCCTTCAATAATTATTCAAATAGAATTGTTTACCTACTCAGCCCGTGCATGCTTTGGTGGCACAAAAAGGCAAAACAACAATTGGTTTGACAGCATGTTCTTCAAAACAAGACACATAGGTAGTTGCTTCTAGAGCATCAGGCCATATGACAGGTAATGTATCCCTATTTCAGAATTACAAAACATCATATACGAATTTCACAATTAAAATTGCAGACGGGTCAATCTCTAGAGTGGCTGGAATTGGTTCCATTGTTTAACACTACAGTTCACCATTCATTCAATACTTTATGTACCAAAATTGGACTGGAATTTACTATCAGTTAGCAAACTTTCTGGTGATCTAAACTGTGTTGCTAAATTTAGTTCAAAAATGTGTGAATTTCAGGACTTGAAATCGGAGAGGATGATTGGCAATGCTAGGATGCACTCAGACTTTATCTCCTTCAAACAGACCCTTCTGGAAGACAAACTCAAACACCAGTATGTATAAACTTTGTTCTTGAGAGCCAATCAAATAATGATCATAATATCATATTATAGCATTATCACGTAGGTCATCTAAACTTTTTGTATTTACAAAAAATGTTTCCCTTATTGTTCAAAAATAAAAATCCACTTTTGTTTCAATGTAAAGTACGTCAAATCTCTAAACATAATCGAAACTCTTTTGCAAGTTTGTCATATAAGTCTTCCAAACCGTTTGCATTAATTGCAGTGATGTTTGGGGACCTTTCAGGATTACCAACATATCCGAAAATAAGAAGTTTGTATCCTTTTTTGATGATCACACTAAAATCACTTGGGTCTTCCTGATGAAAGAAAAATCCGAAGTAGGAGTCATTTTCAAAAGATTCAATACTATGATTCAAACCTAATTTTATACCACTATACAGGTATTTAAAACTGATGATGCCTGTGAATATTTTGAAACCATTCTTGGGAAATACTTTGAGAAAAATGACATTATTCACCAAAGTTCTTGTCTATACACCCCTCAGCAAAATGGCATAGTCGAACGAAAAAACAAACATGTTCTTAAAGCCGCCAGATCCATTATGTTCACTACCCATATTCCTATGTTTCTTTGGAGAGATGAATACTCACTGCGACTTATCTGATAAACCGAATGTCTTCCCGTATTTTGTATTTTCAAACGCCCTATGATCTTCTCTCTTAGAATTTTCCTGATTCACATATCTTATACTCATTGCCACTTGAAGTTTTCGGGTGTTCTGCCCTCGTTCATATCCACTCACATCTTTGGGGGAAACTTAACCCAAGAGCTCTTAAGTGTATTTTTGTTGGATACTCGTCGAATAAAAAAGGATACAAATGTTTTTTTTTTCGGATACACGACGATTCTATAATACAATAAATGTCACTTTCTTTGAGAACTAGTTTTTTTATCCCACTATTCAGAGGGAGCATTCTACTCAGGAATATCAAGTTTGGGATGTCAACATCCCTTCCATCTAACCACAAAATTCACCTCCTCTAAAGTTTGATCCTGAACTAGAACCAGTAGCAGAAACTAAGTGTACACTACCTGCAGTAAATAAACTATGTGTCTATACTAGAAGGAACAAAGTTCGTGGGGAACAAGTACTGAAATCAACTAGGACTTGCCATGAATCCGTACCCACTCCAATGGTTAAGGAATCAACAGGTAATGAGGTACTTGTTACTAACTCTGCTATGTATCAGATTATGCACAAAATATCTCATACAAGATTATGTATCATTCGGCAATCTATCTCTCAAACATCGTGTATTTGTGAGCAAATTAGATAGCAGTTCTCCAGAACCGAAGACAGTCCATCAAGCTCTTCAAATACCAGAGTGGAGTACAACTATTCAAGAAGAGATTAGTGCTCTTAAAAAAAATGGGACATGTAAATTGTCTGAGCTACCTCCAGAGAAACGACCAGTTGGATGTAAACGGATATTCACGACAAGTACAACCCAGATGGGAGTGTAAATCGACTCAAAGTACGCTTTGTAGCCAAAGGTTTTACTCAATCCTATGGTATAGACTATCAGGAGACCTTTGCTTCAATCACCAAGCACAACACGATACGGGTACTACTCTCTCTTGCATCAAATTTTGATTGGCTCAGTTGTCAACTAGATGTAAAAAATGCATTTCTAAATGATGATCTACAAGAAGTGTACATAGATATCCCACCAGGTTTGGAAGTGGAAGATCAGTCTCACAAGGTTTGCAGACTCAAGAAATCGTTGTATAGACTCAAGCAATCCCCAAGAGCTTGATTTGACGGATTCACAAGAGCTGTAAAACATATTGGGTATGAGCAATGTCACACTTTATTTGTCAAACACTGTATCTCAGGTAAAAGATCAATTCTGATTGTGCATGTAGATGTTATCCTCACAGGAGATCATATTGAGAAAATTCAAATACTCAAAGAGTTTCTAGCCAAAGAATTCAAAATTAAAAATCTTGGAATGTTCAAGTACTTCCTAGGTATGAAAATTGCCCGGTCAAAGAAAGGAATTTTTATATCACAACGGAAATATGTCCTGGATCTCCTGAAGGAAACAGGTATGTTTGGTTGTAAACCTGCAGATATGCCTATGGATCCAACAATGAAACTGGAATCTACAAAATGTGAGAACACTGTTGATAAAGAGAGGTATCAGAAACTGGTCGAGAAACTAATATATCTGGCACACACAAACCAGACATCAGCTTTGCAGTCAGTACAATAAGTCAATTCATGAATCAACCGTCAGAAATACATATGAAGGTCGTGTACAGAATTTTTAGGTACCTAAAATAGACACCGGGTCAAGAAAATAAACATGGATATTGAAGTCTTTACTGATGCTGATTGGGAAGGATCAATAACCGACAGGAGATCCACTTCTGGCTACTGCACATGTGTGGGAAAATCTGGTCACACAGCGCAACAAGAAGCAGTTTGTAGTATCCTGTAGCAATGCAAAATATGGATTTCGAGCACTTACACATGGAATTTGTGGAGGGATATAGTTGAGAAGAATACTACTAGAATTAAAGGAATCTATTGATACTTCTATGAAAGTGTGGTGTGACAATCAATCAACGATCAACATGACAAAAAATCTAGTACATCATGATAGGACGAAGCATGTAGAGATAGATCAATATTTCATCAAAGAAAATATTGAAGATGGAACCATAGATCTTATGCACATCCCTTCAAATCAACAAATTGTTGACATCCTAACAAAGGCACTACCAAAACAGATATTTGATAATATTGTATCCAATCTAAATTTACTCAATATATATATGTAAACTAGATTGAGGGGAAGTGTAGAAAAATGTTGTAATAAATTATGTACTTCTTATTCTCCATTATGTTACACAGAGTGGAATATTCCTACTAGGTGATGAGTCATTTCTTCTAGAAA